ATGTGTCACAGAGCCCCATGGGATATCAATTATCACTACAGCAGTCTGGTAGTCATGTGTGTCACCGTGTACACAAATAACCCCAATAGTGCTAGGGTGGTGCCTGGTGGGACTGATAAAGTCGGCTCTGACTAGAGTTATCATGCTACCAAAATCTAGCAGAGCTGTAACTGGCTTTCCATCAATTGAAATAACACACATTTGTCTCTCAATACGTTCCTGACATGATGCAGTACACACCACTTGTGCAAAGAAAGACATGCGTTTTCGCAACGTAGCATTATCACATTGCATAGGTTCATCAGTCAATGGACAATTAGCAGCAATATGTCCTAACCCATGGCAACGAAAGCATTTTATGGGTTCTGCACCCAGTCCTCTATATGGCCTCATGGCCCTTCCTGACCTACTAGGCCAGTCTCTAGGTCCAGAGCCTATAGTCTCTTCATTTTCAGCAAATGTCTTATGATTTTCTCCTGTGCCCTTAACCCCTGGAACAGGCTTACCAGGTCCTCTGGCAGTTGTCCTCTGGGTGAGATGGGAAGATCAAGAACGGGGGTACTTAGTAGGTCAGTAGCTGTTGTACATCGCTCTACCATGTCCACTAGCTGGTTAGCAGTTTTGGGGTCTCCATGGCTGACCCATTTCCTTAGGGTGGCAGGAAGAGCCCGCAAATAACAGTCCATCACCACACGCTCCACTATCTCCGGTGGCGACAATGTCTCAGGTTGGAGCCACTTCCTGGTAAGGTGTATAAGATCAAACATTCGGGACCTTGGGGTCTTTTCAGCCTTATAGGTCCACCGATACACCCGCTGGGCATGAACCGCAAAAGGTAACACCCAGTCTTGCCAGGATTTCAGCCTTAAGTTTGTCATAATCCTGAGCAGCCTCAGGTTCCAAGTCGTAGTAAGCTTTTTGGTGTTCACCTGTCAGAAAAGGTGCAACTAGCCCCGCCCACTCACATCTCTGCCAACCTTCTCGTGCAACAATCCTCTCAAAAGTAGTGAGGTAGGCTTCCACGTCATCTGTCATCTTCTGCAGGTAATAGCTGGCATACTTCACCTTTTGTTCCACTGGTATTGAAGCCACGAAGTTACCCTTTAATGCTAGGATGCTTTGAGCCACCTCCTTGAGTACCTCTCGACCTGCTCGCTGGGCATCCCGATCTGCTTGCTGTGTACCTCCAACAATCGGCGATTTGTCTCTTGTTGGGCTGTAGTGGCCTGCGGCTGGGCCGCAGTGGCTTGAAGCAAAGCCCTTATCACATACTCCATTATGCAACTTTGCTCAGGGAAATGGCCGCCAAATCCACCATATGTGGGGTATAGCTCAAACGGGGATCATCTTCCCTGGGAAAAAAAGGTAGTCCAGGCAGCAAAGTCCTTTTTTTATCTGACTTGGTCAGTTTTTATTTAAAAGGTTAAAATAAAACAAAATAAAAACAGAAAACAAATCCTTGCCTTTCAGGCTCTGACTAAACAGGCAGGTTTCCTTTCTACCAGGTGGTGAGCTTATCTCAGCCACCTCACAAAACAAAAGTACTTTCAGCAACCTTTTACTCACATACATCCAACTTGTAGATCTCTCAGAATGCTGTCGGAGTCCCAGGTCAGAGCAACATCATGCTTCAGCCTTCCCCTTGTATCTCACCTGGATAATCAATCATTTATCAATTACACAATCCAGGTGAGAGACGAAAAACCCAAACTGGATTACCCAGACCCAAAGTCTACCGGAAAACCTGGTCTGGGTTCTGCCAGTCTTGAACATATGATAGAAAGCGAGGGGAAATATATTGCCCCTCGATGACTTCCCCTTTCCCCTTTCCTTATGTCACAGTATCAATACTAAGGTGCTGGTTGTAAAGTAGATCCCAATTTGACTGAATGTCTTTAAGATAGGATCAAAGAAAGTGTTAGCTCGCTGTGTATATTCTCTGTGATAAAAAAGCATATGTTGATAACAGTAAAAGGTAACAATTAAAATGATAATATAACATGGGGGGTTTTTGTGCCATATACTAGGAATTGGTTTAGTGATATAGGTATTCTTGGATGATAGATCACCTGGGTGCTGTTCCTGACTCCTGAATACCTGTCCTTCTATGGTCCTGGGTGGGACACTTTAACCCACGCCTGCCTTAGGGGCTTTTTTTTTAACCAGTAGTCCCCAGCTGCTTCTGATACTCGCTTGTTGACAGACATCTCTTTGAAAAAATGTTAGTTTGAAATCTACTGTAAGTTGCTCTTTTGTATAGATATTTGAAAATATGTAAATGAATAAAAGAAAAAACATGAATTCATATACCGTATATACTCGAGTATAAGCCGAGATTTTCAGCCCATTTTTTTTGCTGAAAAGTGCCCCCCTCGGCTTATACTCGAGTCAGCGTAAGGTTTCTTCTTACTTGCCTCGCCGAGCGTCGCGTCACTGCTGCTCCGGTGGGCGGCGCAGTTTTTTATATCAGAAGGTTGCCGTATTAAAATTTCCCTGACGAAGCTTGTGTAAGTGAAATCCGTTGTGAAGCATTTGCAACTACAAGCCCTGGAATACGAGATTATCTATTACAGATACTCCTCGCTTAACGACTTACCTGTTTTGCGACCACTCGCACTTACGACCGTCCTCCGAGCGACCTCCGACCTCGCGCGCCAGTGCGACGTGTCGCCGGGGGAAGTGACGTCCTCCGTTCTTCACAGCGCGTCCCCGTGAGTATTTTCATTGCCCGATGTACAGTACACTGTTCAGTACTGTACATCGGCAACGCTATACAGTACTGTACTAATGCAGTACAGTACTGTATAGAGTTCCTCACTTAACGACCAATTCGTTTAACGACCTGGTCGTAGGAACGGAACTCGGTCGTTAAGTGAGGAATACCTGTATATAAAATTACAGCGAGTATATGTGACTGGAATTTTTTTTAATAATGATTACACATATGGATATTATGAATCACCACAGGCTGTAGTTTATTCGGCAGATTAAATACTGTGTTATGTCTGTATGTAGATTAGTGTGAATACTATGCACTAATATGTATGTATTTTAAACTTCTTTCTATGGAATAAATCAATGCTTTGATGCCTTATATGAAACCCCACTTTTATTTTATTGATTATAAATTTTAAAAAAAAAAAGCAAAAAAATCTTCGTGTCAGTATGTGTTTTATGGGCTGGGTAAACAAAGCAAGTCAAAATTATGGAAATGGACTTCATCGGTTTACTTTTAATTTTGAGATGTGTCTTTTATTAAAAACTTTAATTAAACTGTCAGAACACAACTGTTCTGTTCTGAGCATAATCTTCTTAAACATGCTTATACATTGCAATTAGTTTTATATTCAGTTCCAATGTACACCAAAATAAAATGTAATATTGAACGTAGACATATCAATACTTTCAGTGCTGGCAGTTGCCTTTTTTAAACCACCTACCTTCAGCAAAAACAGCCAAACACTGGCAATCTACAACCAACACTTTGCAGTATTGATAAAAACTCCAGGCTTGCATTCATCAACTGAAGGTTGGATTTATCCAATTGCTTGTTTTGGAATTGAATGATAAGTTAGAAAGGGCACAGCAGAGGTGTTTCTGGCTAACAAAAGTAACAGCAAGTATCTTGTGGTGTCTGCTCTTAGGAATACTTTTTGCTTTGAAAAGTTAACTAAAGAGTACAGGCTTACTTTAAATATATCATTACAGGGTACATTTAATGCCAAATGTTAGTATTTATATTAGCAATATATATATATATATATATATAGGAGAGAATGGTGCACTCTAAACTTTTTATAGCCCATTCATTTGAGTGCTGTATCAAATAAAACAGATGGTATCACTTGTTAAGAATCCATAGCATCCAATCTTACTAGCACAGCAAAGTCTCAAAACAGAGTTGTATATTGTTCACAATAGGCAACATTTCAGAGCACTAAGCCCCTTTATCAGGCAAACAGTGATCATAGAAAAAAGAGTTTGGACTTTTAAGGTACTCCAAGGATCACACAAAACATATTTTGTTTTTATATAAAGTATAACAAATTTTATTTATAAACATATTTAAAAATGCATGGTTTTAAAAAGAAAGACAACACAAATTGCCTAACAAAGACCATAGGATGTAGCCGCATCCTCCCACATTTTTATCTGTATTACAATACTTGTTGCAGTTTGCTGAATATCAGCTTCCTAATTTTATTTTAGTCCCGTGGGAGTAAAACAGATTTCAACGCGTTTCACAGAGATCCGCTTCTTCAGGAATAGGCTACTGTCTTTCATAGTCTATAGAGATGGCTGGATCCACCATTGACCATTACTCAATCATGGGTGTGGACGGGGAGGGACCAAAAGAAATGGTGTAGAGAGCAAGACAACCCCCAAGTCAAAGCAGGAAACTGACATTATCCATTTCCATCAACGGTGCATGTTCTATAACCAATAACTTGGGCTCCAAACACAGCCTCACAGGTATAGCCAATTCTCTTCCCTTTACCTTCTCCTGAGCTCCAACCACCATATTGCATATTGCGAACACTATATGACTCTGTTGTAAGCCTTTGTTGTGCTGGTGAGATTGGATACTTTGAATAATTGCAATATGGCAACCTGTGACACAGGATCAGCATCGTGTATACCCATTCTCTTCCAACCTCAATTGTCAATGTATCCGACTTCTGCACATTAAGCAGGTCCTTTGACACCTCCTTCTTGTCAATGCCACTGCACAGCACCTTTATGCCAGCCCCTTGCTTCTACAGCAGAACTTTATAAAGTGAATGTTTCTTTAAATAAACATTACTGTGCATTTATTTATGATAAAGAGATTCATAGCTTACAGCTAGAGATGGTGATAGGTTATTGCAACCAAAGAGAGGCCAAAATGTGGCCTCCTTTAAATGAAGACTACCCCTACCAATTCTTCCTTTAAAACCTTGCACATATAATACAACCCCTTCCGGTTGTCTCACACACTCTGCCGTTGCATACTCACTTACCCGAGTGTTGTTCCTTTCTGCCTTTAGCTCAGCAATCTCTTCCTCTCTCTCAAGAAGCTGCTCGCGGCACAGATTCAACTCTTTAGTGAGAGCAGCAAACTCCTGCAAAACAAAACACATTGTCTAAATACAACAGGCCAACAAAGCATAATAAAACAAAACAAAGTGATTTGTTCTCATAATAGTGCTTACATAGATGTAGCTTTCCAGGACACCCATCTCATTTCCAATATGAGATATAACGTTCCTTGCCCACTATCTTTCTGGACAATGACTGCTATGCTGTTAGTTTTCTAGCTAAAGTTGTAATGTGAAGTGCCCACATTTGATAAACAAAAATTTTAAAAGGCATAAGGAGAAATCAGTGATAGGAAAACGCGACCAATTGCAGGAAGGTGAGAAAAGGATGCAAGATTCACAGCGAGAGTACACTGAATGCTTTGTGTAACCTGGGTCTCTGCAGGCTCCCAGAGGAGTGAGTTTCAGCTTCGTACAGACCCCCGTGTATACACTGCTTGCTTTGTACAGCCAGGGACATTGCAATGCACTCCATTTACTTCTTGGCTTTCTGTCTTTTTTTTTGTTTACTTCACCGGCATTCATTTAGTCACAAAAACACTTTTTAGAATATTTATATAAAGAGAAATCCAAGCTATTTAAAAATCAGAATAATGTGTTGTCATATTGATATATCTTTAAAGACCCACTTTGGGCAGCAGAAAAAAATAAATACCCTTGTAGTAGTCACACCATACTGCAAGAGTTAAATACTCATTAAAGTGATATTACATTTATTTCAAATGCTTATTAAATCACTTACAATGGATGCTGCTCCTTGGTGTTTAAACAGGTTAGCTTCTTGCAGAATCAGCTGGTCCTCTAAACACTAGCTCTGACAGGCTGTTTCAGGCTGGCTCTTTTCCCTAGCAGGGTACTATGGAGCCACCCTTGTGTGTGCTAGTAAGCTGTTTGTGTCTCCACAAATGCATAGCCACAGCAGGACAAGCCACTCCCCTGCTCCCCACACCTCCCTCTTCCCTTCTCCCAGCTAGTAGGTGGACAGCTGCTGGAGAGCGTGTTGTCCCTTGTGATTTTGTACTCAACATAAAGTTCAGGAAAGTCGAGCTGAGAGAGTTGGAGCAAGCTGTTTGGAAACATGATGATTGTAATGCTTGGGCAAAATTGTAAAGAAATACTTTACTGTGTTAAGTATGTGTTACTGTGTTATGTATTTGTTTGATCTGGATTCATTATTGAAAAAAAAACTTGAGAGTTTAATACTACTTTAGGTCTAGAAGTAGAGGAACAAGCTGTTATATTTACCTTATTCTTCGCTCCAGCAGGCTTCCACAATGCTGTGCAACTGGTCGTCTGAAGTTGCTTCTCTTTAGCTCTCCATTTCAGGGTCACACTCTGATGTCATCATGTGAAATGCAGGACTGGCAGTCCTGCGCTGTATGTGAGGCCAGCAAGGGCCCATCCATAACCAAGTGTGTCAGAAAGAAGGAGAAAGCACTGGATGCCAGAAGAGTGAGTAATAAAAGTATTACAGCTTATTCCTCTAGCCCTAAACTTAACAAGCATTTAACCAGTGGGGGAGCATAGGGTGGGGGGAGCACCAGTGCAAGGGTATTAGGTTTTAAAAAATTCAGAGCTTTAAAATAGACCTATCACTAAAATGGTAAAATTAAACGTTTCAGCTGTACCATAACCTTATCCTCATAGAGCAAAAAGATTTGCAAGATAGAGCAGCACTCTGAAACCATGATGGCCGAAGAAAAAGTTGCAGGGAATGCCAGCATGTGGGAGACAGAGCACAAGCAGATTTCCCTAATCGGCTCAAAGCAGAGTTACTGAAGGACCGATAGTACTAAGGAGGGATGCACCGATACCAATATCGTATACTCGTACCCACCCAAATGCTCCAATACTTACCCCGATACTAGAACTTCCGGTCAGAGGGATATTTCCCCTGACTGCAAAGCCACGAGGGAACATGAAGCTGGCTTCCCGGCCAATCAGGAAGCCGGCTTTACAACACTGCGAGGCCAGGCCTTCTCGCCCAACATCAGTACCTGACCTCACAAATGCACTTCTGGAAGAACGGTCAAACATTCCCATAGACACACTCCTAAACCTTGTGGACAGCCTTCCTAGAAGAGTTGAAGCTGTTATAGGTGCAAAGGGTGGGCCAACTCAATATTGAACCCTACGGACTAAGACTGGGATGCCATTAAAGTTCATGTGCGTGTAATAGCAGCCGCCCCAATACTTTTGGCAATATAGTATATATATATATATACACACATATAAGGGCTGGTAATGATTAGAATTTTCGTGTTCGATTAATTGAAATTTTTTAGAATCAAATAATCGATTAATTCTAACGCACATACAGATCCAACTACATTGGCCTATACACATACAGCACAGCAATGAAGTAATAAAATGAACTAGGATCACACTATTCCAGCACGTTATTAATCTCACGTGCCCCATTCAATATGGCCGCCGCTTGAGCGGGGCAACTCAGAATAATAACGTGCTGGATTAGTGTGATCCTAGTTCATTTTATTACTTCATTGCTGTGCTGTATGTGTATAGGCCAATGCCTTGGCTGGCGCTCGTGCA